GCCCGTTATTTTGGTGGCCAAGTGACCCTTTTTAGTACCAAATTGCTACTAGACGTGGTCAGACTGGTCATCTCCCTGTAACCCCCGGTGAACTTGCATGTGGTCTTGGGCTTCTTGCAAGAAAAAAGGGAATCTTTCATCAGCCCTTGCTTCGTTTTCCCAGGCAGTATTGTTGCTGGCACTTCAGCCATACTGCAAATGCAGCATGTGTGGGCTTTTTGCTCACACAGTTTATTTAAGAGATTGATACAACTCAGACTACTGCAGGAAAGTCCCTCTGCTACAGAAATGTGTAATAGATATTTGGCAGTGCAACTCAAACATTTGTCTTTGTTCAGCAGATGATTTGAGATTATTGATAGGACCAGTTTTGAGCAGGGTGTGCTCTTGAACAGGAATCTTTCAAATATTTCATCTTGGAAGGCATTGAACTTCAGTTCTGTATGATGTCCATGCATGATCCTCATCCCTTGGACTTTGTAAGCCTCTACTGAGTTGCTTCTTTGGGCATCTGGTGCCAGTTCTGTGCAGATGTTGGGTACCCCAGGGCATCTCCACTGTCACCACAGTGTCTGTGTCAGGAGTTGAGTGGAGCCTTAAGGAATGTGATTGTCAGGTGGATGCTCTTACCTCTGTATGCCTTGTGTTGCATTAGAGGAGAGGCTGTGGCTGCTGCAGTGGCACCCACTACAAGACTTGACCAGCCTGGGTTATCCATGCATTGGGAAATAGTTGTAGGAGGGTGGCTTTTGTACTGACTTGCTTCATATTTGCTGGCACACGAGGTGAGCTCCCGTATGGAGAAGTGTGCAGTGCTCTGTGTGGCTGCAGCCCAAACAAAGGGACACTGGGACACTGGTGGATGCTCTGAAAGGAGCATTTGCGTAGTTTAACAACTGGATCAGTGCCTGGTTGCACAGCCTCTGATTTGACTGAAGCAGCTGCCTTCTTCCCAGCAAAGGTCATGTTCAGCTCAGAGGCACTTAGTGTGAGTCTGAACAACTGGATGGGATGTAGCCAGAGAAAGAGTAGGCAGGGAGAGCTGGGAGACTGCTCATTTAATTACAGTCCTTCGCTTTGTAGTTCCTCCTTTGAGACTGAGTCCAAAGCTGTCCACATGGTGGATGTTTGACCATGTTAAATGAAAAGCCCCTCTGATGGCATGGATACATCTGAATGTTGCTGTGGGTTGGGGGGGATCTATAACTAATTTTCTGTAATATCTGAAGTGTTCACCTCACACAGTCAAGATGTTGACTGAAGGGATGAAAACTCTCTAAATTGTTGGTGCTCTTTTGATATTTGCTGGCTGTGACCACTCACTCCTGAGAAAACCACTTCCCAGGCATTGTCTGTACAGTCAGGTATGTTGGCATAAAATCATACATAGCCAGCAGTTATTAAATGGGAATCCTTTTAAGGTTTGAAAGATGTATTTTTAGGGTGTAGTCTGTGTGAAATGTTCCTTGGTTAATAGAAATGTAATAATTATTAGGCGCATGACTTAGGCTAATAATCATATCCTACAGTACAAGAACTTGCTGTGATGTTCCTGATGTTAAATCCAGACAGACAGCTCCAGTTCCTGTACGTAAGAGTGGAGATTGAATCTTGTTTATCATTACATCAGTCTGCAAAAAGGAGATTTATAAGAGCAGAATTATTTGCGTGACATGGAGTGACTCCCATTGTATAGAACAGAACAGCACTCCAAAATTTCTCTCCTCTCCCTTGCCCTTTTGATGACAGATAGTTGGCAGTGGATCAAAGCACAAACAGGATTAATGTTTTGCATATTCTGTCCTACATGGCCTGAAAGGAGCAGAGATGGAATTTTTCATCTTTCACTTTAAACTGCATTTAATATCGTGGCCTAGTTTAGAGCTATGCGACTCATTCCTTCCATTTCCCCTGAGGCCTCTGTTTCTGGTCAAGGAAAGCAGGGCATGACTCCCTCTGGAGCTCATCAGTGCTGCTCAGCTTCCTCCTCCGTGCAGGCTGGTGGAGGAGGCTGGTTTGAGGCTGCAGCAATCCAGCATCAGCAATCTCCCAGGAGCCTTTGTGGAAGCTGCCATCTCTTGGGTCTGTTGTGTGGTCACATCACGGGTGCTGCAGGGCACGGGAAACCGGAGCTGCGGCAGCATCCAAAGTTCTTGCCACCGCCTGTGCAAAGGAAGCTGTGAAAGCTGGAGTGGTGTCACTGGTCACATCTCCAAAGGGCTGCATTCACTATCCAAGGATGCTGTCCCAGCGTGTTCCTTCTCAAAGATGTCCTCGGAAGGGAATGTTTGAGCCGCGTCTTGGCTGATGAATTGTTGCGCTGGCAGCAATACTTCTTCGCCTTTGGAAATACGCTGGAAATGGCGAGGAAGCGTGGAGGTGCTGGCTTTAGGGGTGGTGTGAGTGCTGGAGCCGTGTCCCCTTGGATCCTGCTCCTCCCTGGAGCGGCACCTGAGCGGCCACATCGCTGTCCTGCCCTCCCCTCTAGCGGGAGGCGGCGTCACTGCAGCCGCCCGGGCTGCCCACGGGCACCGGGGCATCTCCTGTGGCTGCAGGAATTTGTAGTGACCACAGCACTGCGGGGATGGCAGCAGCCACTGGGCTGCGATTGTGAAATACTGCTTCTGTCTTCTTTCACGCCCTCTGTCCATGGATGCATTTGCGGCGTGAAGTTCAGTCAGGTTCAGATACCTGACCGCTCTGTAAATCCAGGACAAAACATGAGGTCCAGGGAAGGAGTAGGCTGCAGGCTGGTCAAAGTTGTTGATGAGAAGAGGAGGAGGCTGCTGAAGGTTAGTTTTGTTCCAGACAGCATCCCAGGTACTGGCAATGGGTCTCTTGCTCAAATCACACTTGTCTGCAGTTCTGTTTTCATAGTCAGTTGTATTCTGAGTGAATGTGCTCCTCACACAAACCTGCTACATTTATGTCTGGTATCAAGAGCTTCAGCAGAGACAGATGGTGATTAATTGGGCCATGTCTGGCCTCCTCCACACTGAGGGTTGAATTTTGAGGGGAGCTAAGATAATGATCTACATATTTCAGGATCTTCTTCTGTCATTTGTGGGACTTTTGGCTATGGCACACCAGGCTTGCCAATTGCTGTGACACGGATTTTTCTTGGCAGGTAGAAACGGCCGTTCATTATAATACTAAAAAATGTTTGCATAACTTGAGTTCCTGAGCAGCACAAACGAGACTTCAAGGGCTCTTTCAGTTGTTTTCCTTCCTTTAGAGTTTGAGGAACTTGTTCTCTAGCTAAATACAAGAACCCCATCATATTTTTAGCAATTCTACATGTAATGAATATCTTCCCCTCTCTTCTGACCTCTTTGTCTTTCTCCCCCAAGTAAACTTCTTGTAAACCTACAGGGAACTCAATTGGAGCTTATGTTCTGGCAGGATTGCCTGCACTTTCTAGTGCTGGGGTGAGAAGTGAAAGTACACTATCCTGGGAAATGCTGGTAATTAGGATTACAAATCTTCAAGGACTTGGATCCCTGGTCTTAAAAAACTGCTGCTTCTCCCAGGCCTCCTCTTCATCTGCACTCTCTGAATGATGCAACAGCTCCTTTGCTGTCAGCTGTGGAGTTCATTGGTGTTTCATCTTGAAGGGGTCAGGAATGCTACTTCCCTTATCGAGTTGCTGAGCCAATTCTCAGGTATGATGAGTAGAAGGTATTCCTGCCCGCTTTTGTTTGGTGTAGATGGTCTGCAGGTTTTAGCTTGAATTTGTGGTTGCAGGTGGCTCCAAGTGAAGGACTCAGTGGTGCAGTGGTGCTCTAGTCCTGTTCTTAGAAACAGAAGGCCAGTAGCAAGCAGCATTTTTTAGTTATTCTTATATATCACAGATTCAGATCATTGAAATAATGAGAAAAAATATCCAACAGGAACATCTGCATTTTGTTCTGATTAGAAAGTGAACTAAACTGGATGTTTGCAGCCAGTAAGCACAAAGAGTGTAGTTCAGAAGAGCTGTGCAACCTCCCCTGGGGTTGTTCATGGGAGAACATCACTGGAGCTTCTTACAGAGGAGTCTGGGCCAGGGGCAGTGCTGGGAAGGAGAGCACTGTCACTGTGTCACTGCCAATCCAGCTTCACCCTTGTGTGAAACACTCTCAGTGGCACAGGTCTCTTGCAACCACCTTGCCAGTTGTGGCTTGAAAAACTCACCACTCCAAAGGAGACCTGCAGGAGGGAAGCCCAGAGCAACCAAGAACAAAATTATCTTTTTCCTTCCTCTCTCTGAACTCTGGTTTTCATGGGATGCCCCTGCCCTGTCAAAACCCTTAGTAGGTTTTAAAATGCTTTTTTCCTGTGGACCTGCACAAACATAGTAAGTTCTCACTAATACAACACATCCTGTACCCTATCTCCAGTGCCTGGTAGGGCGTATGTAAATGTACTGTGAAGCAGAATTAATTGCTGAGATCTCTCTGCTGAGGTATTGCTTTAGGCTGTAGTAGGTAGGCCTAGTAAAATTCCACAGCACATTAGAAATTGTGCATATTAACATCTCATCTAAAGCAGCATAATATTTCAAATTTCTCCTTTCTGGTCATATCTGTGCTCGCTCAGTCCGATTTTTCAGGTTTATTGTGTGCTGGTTTTATGGACTTTTACATTTGATTGCTGACACTGGACTATGAATTAATATGATCTCCATAAAGGTAATAAAACCCCAGAGATTTTAGCCCAGAGGTGAACTATGTGTTTGGCTCTTGGCCTGCCATGTTTGGCAGGGGTCACTGGAAGTCCATGCAAAAGCATGCAAAATCCTGCAGGGGCAAAAATTCCTGTAACGCTGAGTTTTTAAAAGGCTTTTGAGAGAACATGAAGTGACAGCTGAGCAGAAAGTGAGTTCCTCTTTAGTGACAGCTGCATGCAGGAGCAGGAAGAGTTTCCCTTGCCTTACACAATCAAACCAGTGAAATGCAAGCCTTTGCTTTCTGCATGTATGAAAAGATATTAATGTTTTTCTCTTTTCTCTGTGTATGCAGGAGGCAGACAGTGGGGAAGAAGAATGCCGGTCCCAGCCCAGGAGGTAAGATTGTCACTTTAGGCTCACAAGACTCCTCCAGGATGCCTCACTGTGTGCAATGTTCCACAGGGCTTTTGCTGTTCCTCTGGCACGTCCTGCAAACACACATCCCTTTCTGCCTGTTGTTGATGTTGCACAACTGTCTTAAATGAGCCTTACTGAAAAATGGGTTCTAGTAAAGGGTTTGCTGCAGCAGGAAATGGGAAAAGTCAGATTGCACACTAAAAAATAAATATGGGGAACAGTTGGCAAAGATGTCAGGTGAATATATTTTCCAAACTGCTGTTTCTGTAGCTCCCTCCAGTGTCCTGTGTTGTTTCTCAGGATTTAGTTCACCATCAGAGTATTCTGAGAGGCATAACCAGACTAATAAACTCTTGTTCTCTGCTTAAAAAGTCTCTGTTGCCATCAAGGGTGATCCTGATCTATACAGGCACCTGCTGCTTAAATAGCACATTCAGTGGATTTGTGGATATTTGCTGCTGACGCAGGCAGCCAAATTTATGCTCCAAAATTAGGAGACACTGAGAATTTGCAGGGATTTTTTTGTTTAATTGGGATTGTTTTGCAGGGAGGTATTCACCTCTTGTAAATGTTGATTTCAGTTGCTTCAGGAAGAACTTTTTTTTAGTAAATATTATTTGCTAAAAAATAAACATTGAAACTCAGCTGATTGAATGGTGACAAGTAATGGTGATTTTCATAATGTAGGTATAGTCTGCATGGGAAAATTTCTTGGGGTCTTGTAAGCTTTGTCTCCTTTCCTCTAAGCTGTCAAAAGAATTATTTCAGCTGAACCTAATAAAAGTAAAAATTGTATATATCAGGTGACTTCTCCAATGGCAGGAACGCTTTCTTGGCTTAAAATGTTGCAGTCAGATTTTGTGAAAGGCTTCAGATTCCCTCCAGAGGGAGTAAAGGGGAAGTGAAGGTGAAATGCTTCTCCCTTTATGAGCTCTCTGACTGTTACGGTTCTTTGCTTAATGGTGTTTGTGTGAGTAGGTAGCAACAGAAGCCATAATATCTAGTATTTAAAATACCTGAACAAGATCTGGGCTTTGTGTTTTGGGGCCAACTTGGCTGAATCTGCAAAAGAAAAAGCTGTCCTGGTTGCACATTCCCATGATTTCACTATAGTTCTGTGATTCTGTGGCTTAGGGAAGGTGACTGCCCTGTTTTCTTCAGTCTTCTAGCCCTAAATGGTGATTTAAGAATTGCTATTTCTTCATTTTGCAGCTTTTATGAGTGAGAGGAAAGCTGGAAAGCACAATTCCCGAAGGTTCATATTGAACTCAGCTAAACTCTGATTTTTCGTTTCACTCTTGGCCTTCCAGCAGTCACAAGATCAACTCATGACTTGATCTCAGTATACATAATGTATTGGAAGGGATGGGAGGTATTTAATTGTTGTGGGCACTTAGCAACCATTGTAGTTAGGTCTGAAACGAGCATTTTTCAAATATGTTTGAAATAACTTCCTGGGGTAGGAAATGACAACCTGCTGTTGATATGGTGATCTGAGCTCCGTAACTCCTGTTACTGGGGTCACAGAGTTAACTAAAACCAAACTCCTTCTGGGGGAAGACAAGGGGGTGGGTGTTAAATGTGTTTGATTACAGTAGGATAAAAATAATAGAGTCAAATGGGGTAAGTAGTGAACCTGGAGTCCTGCTGTGGAGGAGCAGCAGATGTCCATAAACAGTTTCTGAGTATATTTAATCCCCAGTTTTCATGAGAACATAGCAAGTAGCAGCTATTAAAAATCCAGACAGTAAAAAGGCTGCAGATTGAGTTTGGCTTAAAAGGAAAGGTGTGTTTCCAGCTGCAGTGCCACTCAGGTAGTGCTCTGCAGTAGCCTGACATTCCTCACTGCCTGTCTGGGCAGGGCCCAGTTCTCCTGAGGCTTCATTCAGGTGACCTGGCTGCAGCCCCAGTCAGTGGTCAGTGTTTGGGGTGGGATTTTTTTTTTTGCCGTTTGTAAAATTCTTCTGGTGAGGAGACCTTTTGTCTCCTGCGGTCATGGAAAATGTGCTCACATGCTACCTCAGCGTGTCAGGCATCAGGCATGTCCAAACTCATCCTGTTAACTGGACACTGAAGCCAGGAGCACTGCTGTGCTCAGACTAAATGTGTGTTTGCATAAATAAAATAACTTCTCAAAGGTTATTAAATAGGATCTTAGTGCACAAAGGTGTTAATGCTTGCAAGGGAGTTAGTGAAGAGCTAAGGGGGTAAAGCACATGGACTTGTTTGGTGTCAGAAGATTTTTGCAGTGGTCAGTCTTGGCAATCACTGGGTAGAGCCTTCATTTCCATTCCCGTGTCCCCAGGTCTCTGCACAGCCTGGGGATTGCTGTCTCAGAAGAAATGTTACACTCAGATCCAGCTCAACAGCACTGCTAATCCTGTGGTTTGCAAAATCTAGATAGCTTCTTGTGTTAGGTTTCTGCTGTTTATCTTTCCTCCCTGATGAGGTATGGGATATATATTGAGGTGAGGGGGAACATGCAGGAAAGCCTGGCAGCAGGACAGCAGGAGGGAAAATGTTTATTGAGCAGAGACTATGAAGAGCAGCAGACTAAAATGTCCTCCGAAGAGGCAGAGAAATAAGTTACAAACAGAAGCTTAAACTTGTAGGTGATTACATCAAGAACACCATAGTTAAACGAAATGATCTATCTATTTACTGACCTGTGCTTTTTAAGATCTAACACCAGAGAGGCCTGTGATTGCCTGGACTGGATCTGACAGAGAAGGGAGAATTGTGTGAAAATGTTGTTTAAACATAAACCTGCTCTACAGAGTATTCAGATGACCTGACAAGTCTGCACTTGCCAGCACCATCATGGACTGAGGAACTTTCTGCTTTGGGAATTAGCAGAATCTGCTTAAAACTTTTGTCTAAAAGAGGGAAAGAGCTATCAGAGTGCAGAAAGAGAGTTCCTGTGTGTTCTGCAGTCATCCTTGGAAGGTGCTTGAAATGGCATTTCCTGTCGAACTCTTTTGTGTTGATGCAAAAGAAGAATGGTTTGTTTTCCTACTGAGGAAAGTACTTGGGTATAGTGAACACAGATCTGATTTCTGTAAATGTTTCTATCCATTATTAAAAACCCCAGCAAGTTAATGCTGCCAATACCTGAAGCTGAACAAATAGGTGAAACCAGCTTGGCTTCTGCAATATTTTTTCTCACACCCAAGCCCTACTGTGGGGGAAGCCCAGGGGGGTTCTCTCTGTCCAGCTGTAGCAGTGACCATTCATTCAGTTTATGAGTGAGATCCCCAAAGCCCTGACCCACATCCAGGTTCTCGCTCTGGAGTCCCTGATCGAGCCAGTCCCTGTCACTCTTGGCTAATGGAACCAAGACAGTGCTGCATAAGCAGATGTCCTGAGCAATCTATTTATTACATTTATTACCTTCATAGCAATGTTCTGACATTTTTATTAGGCTGTCTGGAGGCTGTGGAGCTAAACTGGCCTGCACATCTCTCCTGTCCCCAGACATGCTGTTGCCACACTGAATACACTCTTAATGGAGCATCTGTGTTAACGAGCTCTTTGCAGCATCCCGAGGTTGTTTAAAATTCACGTAAGACACACATGTATTGAGCTGTGAGTTGTGTTTACACCCGCTGAGGTATTGACATTCAGGTTTTGTGTGCTCAGTGCCAAGGTTGCAAGGATTCAGCATCTTTGTTTTGCTGACGAACACATCTCTGGGGCTGGGGCAGCAGCGGTGCTGCAGCTGCATTGGATTTGCTGTCAGGATCTGCCGCTTGCTTTTTGGGTTTTATGTTTTAAATGGTGCCTCTATTTCCATACCATCATGATTTTACCACTTCTGTGTGCCTTGAAACCGCTCTGGTTGCTGAAATGCAGCATTTGAGGCTGTTCAGTATCTGCTACATATAAAATTGGGTGAGCTGTATTGCCTAGTGAGGCTGCCAGGGACTTCAGAGGGATTCTTTCAACTTTTATGGCCTGGCAGTGGGTCTGACTAAAGTCCATTTGCTCAGGTAAAGCTGAGGAGCCTGTCGTTCCCTTCAGGTGCCACAGAAAATTATTACATCCTGCTTGAAATCCGGGGCTTGTTACCTGAAAATGTTCTCAGAAAGTGCTTGTCCTCCCCTCTTCAAGTGGAGGCAAGAGTGTGGTGTTAAATTATAATTTCAAAAGAAGAAAAACCCCACACCTTTTGCTGTACAAGTATGGTTACCTTCTGGTTTGTTTTTTTTCAAATCAAAATAGTTCTTTCCAGGAGTGAACTGGGAAGGAAAGCAAATCAGATCACTGCCATGATAGCAGCTGGATGTGCCAAGTTGCCTCAAGGTCTCAAGCTGTGAGTAATTACCTTTGTTTCAGGAGCAGAAGACCACAGTCTGATGCAGGAGCTGATGGTTTATAGCAATATAAAAGTTGTTTTTCAAAGAGTAAGTGGAATAGATGCATTTACTTTCTTCTACAGGGCAGCAGCTCAATAAACTGCAAGCCAACCTGTTTGATTTTTATACTGAGACTCGTTGTAAAATGTGTGTTAGTCCCTGGGAGAAATGGGGAGGGTGATCGTGTGATACTGAATTGACTGCACCTCCAAAGGCTCCACACTGAGGTGTGTGGATCTGCAGCATCCTGTGACTGCTGTGACTTTTGGAGATGTGTGTCACCACCATTTGGTGCTCCTGTGGCAGGCTCCTCCTGCTCCCGGTAATCCTTAAAACCTATCTGCTGAAGAGACACTTCCAAAAGCTGTGTGCTGAGAGTTCTGGCAACTAAACCTTCCTTGTGCTGCCTTTGCTTGCTGCTGCAGCTGCCAAACATTTACTCTGTTAGTACTTGAACAGTAGCTGGGTCTTTAATGGGCGTGCAAGACAGTTTGTTAACTGTAGATCTTGAGTAAGAAGGGGCTGTGTGTGCTGTACAGGAAAACGTGTGTTTATCCGTGCTGGACATTACTAAGCTCTTGTAGTATGAACCTTATCTTTAGAATGTGTTTCCTGAATTCATCT